CTTATTTACATCTAAGGGCATAATTGCAGATTGCAACTCCTCCCCTTCCAAGCGGCAAAGAGAAACTATGATGGCCACGAAATACGCGAAACATTCCTATTTACAGCAAGTGCTGGGTTTGTCCTTTCTGGGCTACTGTACAAACATGGCAGACTCCATGTAAGGTGGCCTGCATTGTCTGTAACAGAACAATTCCTATATTTAGATGATTATACACTACGTTTGAACAAAAACATACCTATGAATATTATATTCAATTTCTGCCATTAGATCCTTCTAAATGTTACACAATGGAGCTTTTTAAAGGAGTGGTTCACAAACACATCACTAACATCTGATTGACAGGTATCGCAACCAATCACAGCCATGATCTAAATATCAGCTCCACCCAGGCTTTCTAGCAGTTGACCAAATTTGGATCTTCCTGCTCAAATGAAGCAGATGGTGGTAAAGCCAAGCTTCATAACACCCCAACACAAACCTGTGGGTGACATCACAGGAACTACGTCCATATTCTCTCCAGTTAGCGTTTGTCACCATCTGTCACAGCCATCACTAGCCATCATTTGTCTCCTCCATGTTTTCTGACATATATGGAGACAAAAAAAGATGATGTGTGAAACAGGCTGTGGCTGAGTCCGCCACAAACATGAGCAGCTCCCAGCTGATTTGTTTTGACTATCTGTTGTCTCATTGCTGCCTGACAAAAAAAAAAAAAAAAACAGACACACACAGGCCCATTGAGTATTGCAGTTTCCATAGAAACAGGGATAGTGGTAGAGAGTGGGTTGGTGTTGGTAAGAGGGTTGTGGGGAGAGAGTGTGAAACTAAACCTGCATGAAGATAAAGAGGAGGAAGGAGCGGAGAATGGAGACAAAGAGACAGAAACAGGAGGTGTTTTCATTATTTTCTCTCTAGTGCACACATTCATTGATGCATCAGTCCTGCTCCCCTCTCCCCAGGTGGAGGCTCAGTGACACTGGATGCCTGACTATCTCCTCTCATTATCATTCCCCCACCCCCTCCATCCATCTCCCACTACAGCTGGATAAGCCAACCACTAACCCGCCCGACTCTCTCTTACGGAGCAGGGATTTGAAGATTGCGTTCTCACATTCGTAATCAGATGTAAGAGAGGATTATCTCAAGGTCTCCTCCATCTTGCACAGCCGGGGGCTGCCAAGACAAAGGAAGGGAGAGAGGAGAGCAGAGAGGGAGCTCGGTGAATGGAGTGGAGTTAAAGAGAGAGAGAGAGAGAGAGAGAGAGGTCACCTGTGGATGTGAGGAGGAGGAGGAGGAGAGGGAGGATGAAGGCTTTCTAAGGAACTGCACCCATAACCCGACACATCCGAAAGGGACAGGAAAGAGGGGAGGATAGAGCCTCAGCAGCAAGTGTTTCACTGTGAAAGGTAAGATGGTGGATGAAAATGTTTAAAAGCTCTTCTCCTGAGGAATACACTCATATTTTATGTGTGAGCATGTGTTCAGTTCTTATTGCATCTGTTTGTACAGGCATATGAGCCTGTTTTGTGTTTATGGGTGTAAGCCTGATTGTGTACAGAAGATTTTAGCCCTCCGAAACGCTGCACGTTGTTTCCTTGAATGAGTCAGTACATGAAAATTTCTCATGCCTGTTATCCATGTGTGCCACAATTTGGTCAATGTAAATTTGCATTTTAATATTTAAAAAAATAACCTCAGGTTTTGTTTAATTTAAGTTGAATCTAGTAAAAAAAAACTAGTAAAATGTTTTAATAATTGAAATATAAGTTTCAATTATGATGGCCCGACATCTTTTCAATTATGTTCTCAAATGTCTCTGACACACTACATTCAGGGATTCAATACACCTTCAAATATATACTGTATATATACTGCCAATGCTTCAGACCTGGCACTGTGAGCAAGCACCGACTTGTTGCTGTCTGGATCCTGCGACTTGCTTCATGACGCTTTAAAACACCACACATATTTGTGACGTAATGTGGATCCAGTCAGTCATTCAATTAATCAGAATTACCCTGTAACTATTTTTAAAATAACTGCGCAACATTCTTACTCAATCCCTTCTTTTAGTCTCATGTCATCTGTATTAAAGGTCCAGTGTGTAATATTTAGGAGGATCTATTGTCAGAAATGGAATATAATATTTATAGGTTTGTATTCATTAGTGTATAT